ACATGGAGGCATCTGAACTTAAGACAGCATTACTGATCTAAGTGAATTGAAGAGTAAGTGTAAGGATGATAAGTAAAGTATGCCATTGACTTAGAATCATAGAATCACCTGGGTTGGAAGAGATCCTTGAGTCCAACCATACCATCATTACTAGACCACGGCACTAAGTGCCATATCCAGTCTCATCCTGAAAACCTTCAGGGATGGCGAATCCACCACCTCCCTGGGCAGCCTATTCCAATGTCTGATTACTCTTTCCATAAAAAATCTCTTCCTAATTCCCAACCTAAACCTCCCCTGGCAGAGCTTGAGTTTGTGCCCTCTTGTCCTACTGCTAGTTGCCTGGGAGAAGAGACCAACCACTACCTGACTACAACCTCCTGTCAGGTAGTTGTAGAGGGTGATAAGGTCTCCCCTGAGCCTCCTCTTCTCCAGGCTAAACAACCCCAGCTCCCTCAGCCTCTCCTCATAGCATTTGTGCTCGAGTCCCTTCACCACCCTCGTTGCTCTTCTCTGGATGTGCACTATACTTTTACTTTATTTTGCCATTTATCAGAGCTTCAGCAGATGAATGTGTCGTTCCTTTTTTTTTTTTTTTTCAAATATGGTAGATCAACAATTTTTTTTAACCTTTCAAAAACATAGGGACTTTCAAATACAATGACTGGCTGCTATCTGATAGCAACTGTTATGTTTAATAAATTATTCTCTGTATTTAAAGGGTATTGAAGTTTCTGAGCTAGGCACAGTGCGGGCTGCATGATGTGAGGCTGGAAAAGGAAGGAGTAAAGGCAATCAGTTCCTGTACCAGCACGGAGACAATGCTGCAGACAACACCTGGGACTGCCTAAGCACGCTGATTTTGAGATTCCTTGTGCAGGCATTTATTCAAGTGTGCATGAAAATCTTAAAAGCCTTAAGAAAATCAGAGCTAGAAGAGATTGGAAAAAACTGTCCAGTCAGCTGCTCTTCTCTAATCAAGAGCTGCTTGAGGTGTGCCATCATGGATGCATCCATTTCTAGTCTTTTCTTTTAAATGTTTGAGGATGGAGGTTCTTCATATGCCCCAGGCAATTTTTTTCCAAAGCCTCACTATTCTAAGTACTGAGAAGTCTAGCCTCATTCAGAACTGCTATGATTAGCCCTTTACTGCTTTTCCAATACATTCATAATATATATAGAGAATAGCTTGTTCTATTCTTCCTCGTGACAGGATACTCATATACACTTCACATCTTCACCCATATGTCCCTCCTTCCAACTAAACAACCCAAATATTTCAGTTCTTCCCTTAAGCCAGGGACCTCTCATCATTTTCCTGTTTTACTGGTGGATACACATTTGAAAAGGAAATATACTTGATAAATGTTTTCTACAGTTGCAAAAAATACACAGCCTCTCATAGAAAAGGTTGAAGAGATTACATGTTCTGTGATAGAATGTTTAACTAGCACAACAAAAACTCTAAACTACCCTGAAAAAAGTTCATAAACATTAATGTAGCAGCAATGGGTGTCAGACTGACTCAACAAGATATTGTAGTCATTTCACAGTTGAAGCAAAACTGAGTAATCATGCAATGAGCTAGAGGGCAGGAAAGAGAAAGAATCACATCAAAGACAGGAAGACTAGACTGAAAGTTGGTTTTTGAGTTGGACAAAACCATTCTGGGGGATAGGAAAGAAATACATGAGCTAGGAAGAGAATGCCATGATAAAATAAACAAACTAAAGATAATATGTTCTCAGAAATGCACCTGGAAGCCTGTGGAAAGAATTATCAAAACATCTGTGACAGCCAGAACTCCTGAAATGTAAAATAATGAATAAATAAAACCAAATAAATACGAGGAAAAAACCAGAAAGACAGCATAAAGGTGCTGACAAGAAAGAAATAGAGTACATGGAAGAAACAATGAGGCTTTAAAGTCTCCCTTTCATACATTTGGCCACAGGAATCAAGAACGACAAATGGTATTTCATGCTGTTCTATTTCAAAACAAAATGTACTGGAATGAGTAGGTACTGCCTTCTCATGCAGCATCTTTCTCTCATTTTCTACTTTTACTGTGAGTCTAACCCAACTCAGTTTTCCTGTTAGTCTTTGTTCCCAGAGCCTTAAAGGCTACATCACCTCTTCCAAACATGCACGACTTGGTAGAGAGCAAATGCCTGCCTGAACTCACAGAAACAGAGCAGATATCTGACAAATATCATCAAGATTTTGGGGCAAATCTTTCAAGCCAAACAGAGGCTAGGCAGTTAGCATAGTTTAACAGTGTAGATGTATGTGATGATCACCAGCACAGTTTGCATGTTTCACGTCACAGAAAAACCTTGGGCTTGATGAGGGATGTTCATATTGGAAATTCATGAACCCCATTTTGAGATTCAGGCTTGGGTCAAAGAATCCACTTATGCATGTTTTACTTTAAACAGATAAAAATTCATTAATTCATAACTAATGATTACCTCAGAGCAGCAGTTTTCCCATTTCTGTGAGTACATGTGACCTGCCTGGTTTGGTACCCAATTTGTATGTCCCAATATTTGTTCTCCTGTCTGTTCTGTCTGTTACGGTTCCTCTTCTTCTTAATTAACTCACGAGCATCAGGATCTCGAACTGTCTTTTCTCTGTCCTTTTCCTTGTCTTTGTTCTTCCCTCGTTTCCTTGCTTGCCTTATTTGCCTTGAATGGGGCACTGAGCATGTGCTCCAGGGTCCCACATTTAGACTATACAGGCTTTCTTCAACAGCGCACGGGCTAGACTGACAGATCTGAAATTCAGTGAGGTTAGGACAAGCAGACCCACCAAACTGTGGTGGAGCCACAACATGCCGAGTTCGATGCTGAAGCCCATTGCCACAGGTCTTCGAGCACTCCGACCAGGGGGAGAATTCAGCCACAATGCAGTCCTGCCGGCACGGGATGAGACAGGCCTGCTCTTGCCGGGGCTTCGGCTCAAAGTACTCACAGATGACATCCTCAGCTGGAACCCCATTGGACTTCTGGATACAGGTGATGTCCCTTGTCTGGATTCCTTCCTCTCCTCTGAGGCACTCGAAGGGCTTTTCATGGCTACGTGAGAGGACAGGCCGGCACTGGTCCAATCTGCCAGTCGTACAGCTCCTTGTGCCAGTCGCAGACCCGAAAACAGCTCTGCTGGTTGTCTGGTCGCTCTGGCTGCTTGCAGTTTGTGGGCAGTGTGGTCCAGCCTTCCACATGAGCACACCAAACTGCTCGTGTCTGGATGCCTCCTGGACCACATTCATCTCCCATGCACCTCCCCCATGGACCTGGAAAACAAGAGAAAGAGGCTAACATTCATGCATAAATTATTTTTCTGTCATAGTGCAAAAGTAAGCTCACAACATTTCCACTATCTCTTAGAATTTTGTTCTTGGAGAAACTCAAACTTGGAAAACCCAACGCAAGTATGGGATTACTCTTCATCTCCTATTTCTAGGATTACAGATACATTTCATTTTTTTTTCATAGAAGGCCCAGCACCCTGTCCAGCTGGATCTTAAAAGTGTCCAGTGTTGGGACTCCATTGCTTCCCTGGGGAGATTATTCCAATTGCTGATTATTCTCATTGTGAAGAAGTTTCCTCTTGTGTTCAATTGGTATATCCCTAGAAATAACTTATACCTAGAAGCAACTTGTACCCATTACTTTTTTAAAAAATCTCCAAGGTCTATGGTAAATACTTGACATGGTACACATTGTTATAATAAATGTCAACAGAAAACAATAGAAACCTATAACCTTGAAAGCTGATGTAGTTACTTTTTTCATTATTAAAACCTGTAATATTCACACAGTTCAACTAATGAAACCCACAAGCTGGAGGGTAAAAACCACCATATTTTTTGTGTTTTCTTAGACCTCCCCTCATACACATCATGCATAAGAGCAAAAGAACAGTTCAGAAAAAAAATCTGTAACCATTTATCAAAGGAAATCTGTCTATCCGCAGACACTTGATGGCAGAGAAGACATTTTCTCTGACTAAGGACTTGTCATGTTCCATGAAGAAATTTGGGCCAGGCCACACAATCCTCATTCATCTGAGTGACCCCAGTAACAAGCCTATTTCTGTGAAAAAAGCTGCTGAAGATGCAGGGATGAGCCTTTGCTATTTCCAACAAAGCAGGTTAACAGCATAATTCTGGTACTGCACCAGAATAAGTGAAATGAACTATGGCAGATACAAACTATTTACAACATGTTCTTATTGAATGACTAGAAGGAATATGAAGCTACATCCTATTACTGATTCCCATGAGATTTAAAACTCCCATTGACTTCAATACAATTTTCTGCTGTTCATCCAACATTAACTTCAGTACCAGTTTGGGAATGGGCTGATGATAGGCTGTACATTTAGCCTCTGCTCCTCTTTATTTCTGTCTCTTTTTTAAGTGGACACTGTGGCTGAACAGTTTGTTTGTAGTTCTAAATGAAACACTCCATAACAATGCCAGCTGGCAGATTCAGCCCATGGAAACTCCCCCATAGTTTTTGCAAATTGAGTTTGAATTATGGTTTCTAGGGTTTAACGAGATATTCCGAAAAATGTTTATTAAATACAAATACATTTCACTTTCCATTTCATCACAATTGCACTACTTTATCCTAACCAGCCTTCCATAAATGACATAATCATTGTAGTACTTAATTTAAGTGTATTTACACTGAGTTGAGAGAGATCATTTCCTCAGAACACCACTTTGAATGCTTGCCAATTATTTAAAGAATAAGGACTGCAGAAAATTTCCAGCTAGAGCAGAGATACTAAAATAATCGTGATTGAAATAAAGCTAAATAATTCATCTTGCAAACTACAAATTTCTGTCTTAGCAGGTCACTATACCTTGTGTACTGTATATATGTTCAGTGAGGAAATCCCTCTTTTTAAAGATCAGGTCTTTACAGTATTCCAAATGTAAAGTTTGCCCATTTGGGTTTCAACCAGATTTCCAGTCATCAATAATCCAAGAAATCACATTGTACCTAAAAGTTGTGCTTGTCACCAAAGTATCTTCAATCTAATACTCGGACAGGTTTACACCTGCTAGATTTATGTAAATGATAAAAATCTCAGGCTCAAAGCACTAAATACTGCTTTTGGCAATGTGAATACAAACCAAAAGTCTGCAAGTAACTGTGATAAACTCTTTCATTAGATCACAAGTATGATATTTTTAGAACCGAATCCAAAATAATGATGAGGTGCATGGATAGGTTCATATAGTAAACTGCATTATTTTGCTTGTACTGTGAAGTAGTACGCCATTTTATAAATGCATTACCAGTGAGTACCAACATACCACATTTACACGAATCTTAGAGCAAACTACTACTCAGCAACTCTAGGTCAATGTTGACACAGAGCTATTAGTGATGTATCTGATCCTCCCTTCTAGATACATTAGGTTTCTCTTTAAGTTTAAATACAAAGTAACTCATTTAGAGAACAAGACTGCAAATACATCAAAAGTTTAAATTTCCACTCTAATGCACACTTCTTTATATGACTATGACAGGACCTAAAACTGAAACACAGCCTTGTGGCAGAGATCTGTTTAGGCTTTTTCCTTTTTGAGCTTCCTCAAAAAACTAAAGGGACTCCACACTTGACCAAACCAAATTTCATTTGCACAGAATGTTGAAACATGTGGAGGGGGGAAGTGTTAAAGAAAGTTGAAAGAGAAATGAGGAAACAAACAAACAAACAGAGTTATACATAATCCTTCCCTGCCCTCTAAGTCTCTGTGTCCCTACCATACAGTGACCAAGTGGCAGCAAACTGTCCTGTGCTCTCTGGCTTCTAGAAATCCCTATGGCCTAGCAGTCTGGCCACCTACTCTCTGCCATACCCCCCCACTCACTCAAAACATTTTGCTCTTTTCTATGCTACCTCCCCCATCTTCATAGATAACTCCATCATCTACTTCAAAAAATGCAACATCATAGAAGCAAAGAACACATAGAAGCAACATATGTTGCTTTTAACTTGGAAAAATATAACCACAAATCAAAATAACTTTTCTGTATGTCTATGCAATAGAATCAGGGGCGAGTGTTTGTTTTTTAATACATGCTTTAACACAGGCAAGAACAAAAAGCTATAACTGGTACTGCTGGAAGACATAGAAAAAAAATAAAGGAAAAAATCCAATCCTAACACTTCCACACTCAGTTCTCCTTTAGAATAAGTTTTTCAAGCCAACTTTCAATTAATTAATTTCAAAATACCTATGACTATCAGCCATTTCAATAGTTTAACTAACTAATTTGTCTTATTTAGGGTAAAGACAGGAAATTGCCATTTTGTTCCTTTTTTGGTTTTGAAAAAATAATAAAGAATTGACTTATTTCTAGAGACATGAACAGAAATTTTCTTTGACCAAACTTTTTCTGAGAAATACCATTTATTTTTCTTTTGAAACAATTCCTGGCATCCACATTAACCAACACTTCTGTCAGTTTTCAGTTGCACACCTTGAAATCTTCAGTTAAGTTATCCACATCTTCTTGTACGATCACAAGTCGCTTGTTAATCTCAAGCACTTGCTGAGGAATGTGTTGCTGCTGTATCTTCTTTATGCGGACATCACAAAAAGAGAGACGCTTCTCTCCAATCTTCTTTAAAACTACACTTCTCTCTCCCAAATATCAAAAGAGCCTACAGTAATTCACTTCTAAGTTAAGTGGCCCCAAACATGTTGTAATCATCAAGGCGAGACATGGTTTTCATTTGAAAATAATCACAGAAAACAAGAAAATAATTGTGTCTGAATTACGCAAAGGGGCTTTGTGCCTTTTTCCAAAGAGCAACATATGAATCCCAAAGTACTCCTAATCCACTGACCATTTTTTTCCTCATTGCCACAGATTGAAGAGAAAGTGCCCAGCACATCCTTACAATATTTCTTTGCCTGCTAGTCAAGACAACACTGAAGATGCATGAAAAAATAGTCAGGGCAGAGGCTGAATGATCCTCAGGAGTATGAGGAAACCACATACAGACCACATGCAACGTGCTCCTTATATTTTATCATTATTATGGGTAGTACATTTACCAAAATGTGTGTAAATGTGACATTTTGGGATAAAACTAATCTCATAGAAACTAATGATGCATAGATATGCAACTCAGAATGAAAGAGATCAGCAGAATACAATGTAGAGCCTCACTCATCACCATCACTTCAAGGCTGCAGGAGGTGGAGGGTGGCTGCTCTTTCACAAATCCTCAGCTGATGTTGAGCACTAGTAACAACAAGAAGGTCTTTAGGAAAGCTGTCAAGCCTAATCAAGGCCTCATATGATATTTTAATTTGCTCTTTATGAATATTCTTTAGATTCTCTCTTTCCCACTGAAGCAGTCTTCATGCACTCTGCTCTCCCTGCTGCGTGCTGATCCAGTTACGCCTTGCCAATGGGATGTATGTGTGCTCAAACCATTTCACACTGGGGAAAAAAGCTTGCTGCTGTGAATGCAAAGTAGTTATTCTTTGGATTTTGTTTTAAACATACTTAGATGAATGAGTCATAGTTTGCCTGTAGTGAGCTGAACTTGTTTCATGAAAATACTGTTGTTGATCCACTCTTCATTTAATCAGTGTATTACAAAAGGCAGCTACAGAAATAAATAGGAAGCTTGCTTCTTTTTGTTGTTGGGAGTTGCCACTGAAGTCTTAGTGAGTTTAAAATGTCATTTGTAATTCTTTGTCTTCTAAAGAGATTACTGTAAAATACAATATTAAGATTTCCTCTAAGCTTCTGGAGGATTAACATTTATTTTTTTAGGGAGCAGCAACATAAGTGAATTAACCTTTACTGCAAGTTTATACTGAAAGATCAAGGACTGATCACAATGGAGTCAAAAACTGAACACTAAATCCCCACTAAAGGACAGAGAGTTTTGCAGCTAACTGAGAACAAAGTAAACTACCGCAGTATTTAATACTGTATATTTTAATAGTGTCTCATGTGATAAAATTGTGACTGTTTGAAGAAGAAAGAACTTACTTTGAACTTTGATCCAGGGCAAATAAGGCTCCGTGAAAATCCCTTGAGCTTTTCTCTTCATGCAAATGCAAAGAAAAACAAAACTATCCCCAAACATAAAACTCCAAACGTGTCTTAAAGCAATGAGCAATACATTACTTCCATTTTTAACAAATGAGGGTTGCACCACTGATTTCATCTAAATTTTGCTGTACTTTCCATGAGAACTGGTTTTGACCCATTTTGTGTTACTGGTTTGGTGCCTGTAAGTAGCATT